ACCGCGACTAAAGGTCCTCCGCCCCGACGGCCACCTGGCGCCCACGTGGACGGGCCTTTAGTCGCGGTTCTTAAGCAACCGCGACTAAAGGGGGGGGGGCTTTAGTCGCGCCCGTTCGGTCGCGGTTGCGCAACCGCGACTAATGGCAGTTGCGAACCGCGACCAAAGGCCCTTTTTCCACCAGTGTAGTACTAGTATGCACTATAGATATATTATGAGGTAAAACACCCGAAGTCATAGAACTTGCACGCGATGGTCAGTTTGGTCCACAAACTTGTAAAATACGTGTTTCTTGTCATCAAACTTGCACGAGCGTTCATATACGGTCACATTTCATGTACACGGACGTATCCATGGCCTATGTGGCATTCCAGTGTGGCCAGGGCCCACTGTCATCCGCTGTAGCATCTAGACCTGCAGAGAAGCCTTTGACTTTTTTATTTTCGTATTAAGCCCCTAAAAAAATGAGAAAACAAGTGATATGGGGTTTTGAAGCTGCAACGTGCCCTAATAGTCTCACATGGACAACCACCGGACTACTGATCATTCATGTCTATATAGCACGACTAATTTTTGTATCATATAAACATTGACTGAAAATAAATTTTACAAGAAATGTAACACGGAAAAATGAGCACCGTGGCTCGACCATGTGACCTTGTAGTCAAGGTTAACTAAGATTACCACCGACAACACAACACGTCCAGATGTAAGAAAACAATTTATATTTTTGTGCTTGTGACATTCAAAAAATATTTATGTGTTAAAAAAAAGGTATGCGACATTTTAAAAAGTTTCAAAAACTTGTATTTGAAAAAATGTTAATCAACACAACACGTACAGATTAACATTTTTTCAAATACAAGTTTTGAAACTTATGTGTATTGAAACATATACTCCATATGATACACATATGTTTTGATGTTTTAAATACTCCAGTATACATCTATGTTATGATACACACACACACACATATATACATACATACATACATATATATATATATATATATATATATATATATATATATATATTAAATACTCCAGTATACATCTATGTTTCGAGTATTTAAAAAATATATGCTTAATACTTTTTAAACATATGATTAACATTTTTTTCAAATACAAGTTTTGAAAAAAAATCAACTATGTTTTTAACATTTTTGGATGGTACGAAACATTTTCAAGCTACACAAACAGTTTTATACATTGTATAGGCATTTACAAAATGTCATGACCAGTTTTTTTTGGAATGCACGGACATTTTTTAAATGCAACGTATCATTTTAATTTACACAAATGTGGTTTACAATGTTTAAACATTTTTTTAAATGTCACACACCTTTTTTTGTAACACATAAACATTTATTAAATATCACAAACACAAGAATATAATTTTTTTTCTTACATAGAACAAGAAGGAATAACAACATGAAAAATATTTATCCCATTTGGATATGTTGTGTTTTCGAAACCCAGTGGTAATCTTAGTTAACATTGATCACGAGGTCACATAGTCGAGCCATGGTGCTCCCTTTTTTGGGGTTACATTTCTTGTAAAATTGATTTTTCGGCCGTGTTTATATGATATAAAAATTATTTGTGCTACCTAGACATGAATGATCATCGTTTTGGTGGTTGTTAACCCGAGCCTAGTAGGGGCACGTCCCTAGTTCGTAACCGAACCATCCCTTATTTTTCCATTTTATTTTAGGGGCTTAAGAAGTTAAAAAATAGGTGCATAATACGTAAATAAAGAAAAAGCCTGCAAATCTACCATGCGTCGCGGGCTTACGGTGGGCCCTGGCCATGCTGGCATGCCACATAGGCCACGAATACGTCTACGTACATAGAATGTGACCGTATATGAACATTTGTGTAAGTTTGACGATCAGAAACACGTATTTTACAAATTTATGCATCAAACTGACCGTCGCGTGCAAGTTCTATGACTCCTGATGTATTTACCTCATATATTATCATACCATAGTATTATATGCATGATACTACTATACTCTTCACTATGACCAGCCTTAGACCATTTCAGTATGCACTTGAAAGGAACAAACATGGTACTACACACGACACTAGATTCAAAAAAATGTCTTACAGACGGAGGGAGTAGAATATAGAGAGGAATCAAATTCCCCAGCGTATCATCTGATGGGTAATGACAAAGATTTTTTCAGGACATATGATGCAAGTACATTACCACCATATGCTGGTAACTAAAACTAACCACCATGGTAACTACGCCACCATTATGATGGCAACTTGTTTACCAAGTTGTATTGATATACGCCACCACTATTGATATACACCACCAAGTTGTATAAATATAACTAGAGGGAGCTAGGTGTAAAGTAGTTGCCTCCGTTGTCCTTGTTCAACCAGGAGGCGATCTCACTGGTAAACTTATCCACCACCGACCCTGGCAATAAGACTGACACAATGATTGATTCCTCGCCATGTACATCCTTGCATCTAGTGTGGAAGCTTGATAGCTTCGGGACTGGCATGTCACCACCAACCCACTCCGCCCACCCAAAGTCCACTGTGTCACCTCCAATGTGACTATTGTCTGACACCCAGTAGACTTGTTGCGCAGGCAAAGTCGGCCGCCTACGCAATAGTGCCATCATATCCACCATTGACCGCATCCGTTCCAGCGACATGTCGGTCTTGGCCTTACGAATTAGCTCCACAATGTGGCCGAGTGGCTTCCCGCATAGGTCACCTACCGTGATCTCCACTATGGTGTATACAAAGGCGTTTCCGTAGTATCCCCGTGGGATGGGAAAATCACGCTTCCATCTCCCACGGGCATTGATTGTAAAGATGAGGCGTACTTTTGTATTGACCTCGTAGCCAAGCGCTATCGTCCGACAGCGCCACATTACAGCAGTGAGAAGCTCGAAGGCGGTGGCGGGTTTGGTGAGAAGCGATGGGACGATATACCCTCGTAAATGAGTTATCTCTCTCGGACTGAAGATCAAGTACTTGTGCACCATGCTCTCGACTGTCGTTGATAGCATAATGTCGTTGACAATCCTGTTGGCATCGTACTCAGAGCCAGTTAGAACCTGTGTGTATGTGGGGTCGATGTCGGTGATGCGTCGAGGAGTGCGTGCCATCAGAATATGCCTCTCCCACACGGATAACACTGCCGGTTGCACCTCGCCACGTGCAAGATCACCTATGCTTTTTATGAACTGGATCATTCCGAAGCCGTCGACGATGCTATGGCATGCCTGGAAACCAAGTATGAACCCTCCGCCTATCAATTCTGTTACCTGTACACACAAAGTTTGTTTATCTGAATAAATAAAGAAAGATGCATTTAAACTGAAACCCAAATAGAACGATAATTAAATTAAAACCTTCTTTGAGACAGGAATAACTGTTTTGCGGAGTGACATGGTTGCATAATGGGAAATGGGTTCGTTGAAGATTTCCACCATGAAATTGTGTATATAGATACAAAAACGGGTAATAAGGCCAATATGGGTGGCCGCTAATAGGAAGCGAATTGAATTTTCAACATGTACTACGTCACCTACCCCTTGCGGGAGGAGAAAGAGCGTAGCTAAGAGCAACTCTAGCAGACCCCACATCCCGCCCTGACCCGGAAAATAACCGCCAAAATGCAGGTCGGGGCGGAAAAACCTGCCCGATCAGACCACACATCCCTGCCTGGCCTGCAAAAAATTTTGAGGGGCGCGGCAAAATCTCGGCCCCAACCCGCGTATTCGCGGGTTTCCCTCTCGCAGCTGCGGTGCCCTGCATATAAGCGGAAGCGGTTGGTGGGGTGACATTTCAGCTCGCGCTTTCCCCCACCAACCACCTCCCCTCTCCCCCCTCGCGCCGCCGCCACCCCGCCGCCCAAGATTCCGGCAAAAGCAGTCGGCAGGAGCTCGCCGAAAGGCCGCCACACGCACGAGGCCTCCCCTCTTCCCCATGCGTCGACGGGCCGCCGGATTTGCGGATCTGCGGACCTTCATCGCGGGGCCGCCGAATTTGGCTTTTCCGGCCGCCGGTGGCTGCGCCAAGCGATGGAATGGTCGGGGAGCATCTCCCGCAGCCCCGGCAAGGGCGCATCACCGCATGCAGGTACGGGTTCGTCCTCCCGGCGCCGCCGACGATTTGCGGGCATGGATTCGTCCGGCCGTCCATCGGGCTCAGCGCTCGCGCATCGGCTCTGTGGCTCGCCGTTGCCGCTCATATAGTGCGACGTCTGCACGCGGACAATTCTGCGGCTTACTTCGGGCACGCCGAAGCACCCCGGATGGGTGTTCTTCAAATGCGAAAACGATGGGGTATGTGCACTTGCGGTAGCTCATTTTGATAGCTCATTCTTTGGTTCAATTGCCGATCCTCATTTCGAACATGGTCATTCTTTTGTGTAGAAAGATGGATGCTTATTTTGGTTTTGGGAAGGCCAATACATTGATTTATTGATAGAAAGAAACTTAATAGATGTTGGTGCACTCCTTAGTAGAATCGAAGGCAATGATGCGGCTGCATGTGCAACTAGAGGGGAAGCAACGTCTACTTCTTTCGAATCAAAGATGAAGAAAGAAGAATGCAAAATCAAGAATCCGCAGATAAACAATGAATGCATGGAGAAGATATTAGTTCAACTTGTCGGAGCAGTTATGGAAGTTGGAAATCTTCTAAAATGCATACTTGTGGTTCTTGTTTTCCGGGCCGGGAGGAGCTGCGCCAGATCAGACCCCGCAAAGCCGACCCATAAAAAATCATATTCCGCGAATATCCTTTTTACGGGTCCGTTATGCGGGGTCTGCATCCGTGGCCGTGCGCGCTGTCCCGCAAAGGCGTTTTTCCTCGAACTGCAAACATGTTTTGCGGGCCAGCCGGATGCGGGGTCTGCTAGAGTTGCTCTAAGAAGGAGAATCGGGTCCGTCTACGTCAAAATCGATTGATATTTCTCAAGTCTCAATCGATTCGGAAAGTAATTTTCTGTTTATTTGTAAAAATGTAACCTGCATTTTATTCACCCATTTGCATTTTTTATTCAACTAAAGGCATACTTTTTCAAATTTACTGAGACTTAAGAAAATCTCAGCCGACATAGAATTAGCAAAACCAAAGACAATTACATGCAGTAGTGATTTAGGAAAACACACATGATGTGAAGGGTCTGCTTGAAGTAAGTCTCAAGCTTCGTCAAGAGGCGAGTATCCAAACTTCATATAAAACATCTTTGCCGGAGTGAATTTTGTGGGATTTAATCCGCCTATATCTTAAGCAATTATATTACTGCAAGTTTAACTGTTCGATGTTCCCCTCTAGTTTGAATCGTGCACTTGCAATGCACATGTGCCTATTCCCGTACTCATTCATTATCGTCGTAGACCTGCTTTAGCAGATGGTGATTAAGGCACACTCCGTAGAGCTTCTTCATCACCTCATTTACCGACACCTCCTTCAATAACTCTACAATATGCTAGTGACACGCTTATTATAGCTCACGCTTCCACTCAGGGCATAATCCATGTCAAATCCATCATTGATGATTTTGCCCTGACGGCTGGACTCACCATCACACTCAACACTGATCACTTCACTTCCATCGTGATAGCCACAATTGCTATGTCACTTTCTTCCCCTGACCTGCATTGGCCTACCCCTCTCTCCTGATGAACTACCAACATCTGCCTTCAGCTCCTTTACAAGCTAATTTTGCAACTACCTGCAAGGTCAGGTTGCACATTCACCTTCGCGCGAAGCTTGCCTCATTCTACTCTCTTTGGTGCCTGAATTACTGATGACCTACTTCATACTATAATACCCTCTTTGCTGCGCGAAGCTTGCCTCATTCTACTCTCTTTGGTATTTGTTTTCCGCCTTATGAAAGGACTTGTAAATACTATTTATGCGATTCGTAGGGCCTTTTTATGGAGAACCAAGGACTCTTATACTAGGAAATTATGCCTCAATTCTCGGAAATTTTTTGCAAAAAAAATCATCTAGATACAAAAAATTACTCTTAAAAACAATTGCCTGCTCATGAAATCTGCTTTCAAACTGCGTGAGCTTCTAGACCTCCCTTGGGTGCACTGGTTCCACTTGCTATTCCACTAGCATAGCCATCACGAAGTGTAACCTTCTCCTTCCCCTAGAAAATAGTAAACCACCAGTTTCCCTATCTAAAAAAAAACTATTTATCCTCTCACCACCACCAACTACTTAGTCAACTCCATAATATAGCTTCCCAACCTATTCTATCACTCTATAAACCCCACCATACTAGTCTTACAAGTTAGGCCGATGGCTTGCTAGCTAACCTAAGGAACCACCTGACTAATGTTCTTTGGTAGACTTGGATGAGGTGACTTTGTTGTTGCGGGACTTTATCAGCAACACCGCCGACAATGAGTGCTTCCTTACACACGGGATGCCCTTATCAGCCAAGAATGCTTACAACATACCTACTCGGCTACTCTCAAGGAAGTTTTTTTAGAAAAGGAAGATGACCCTCTGCCTTTGCATCTGGGAGATGCATACAGTCACTTTATTGATTATTCTCGAAGACCGTACAAAGTATTACAACAATGTGTCTGAATCCATCATCTTGGCAACATATGCCGCTACTCCTATCCAACATGATGAAGGAGTGCTAGCTGGGCCACTACCCAAACCACTCACCTAAGCCTAACATCAAAAGCCGGAAGCCGAAACTCATTCGGAAGCCCCAGCCGAGCCACATACTGGGTCTGGGGCACAATCCGGTCAGACGCACTCGTGTGTCGCCGCCGCCATCTTCCACAGGTCTTCAGATCATATTGAGGCTTCTACCTTGTCTGGCCACTCTGCCATCGACGTCACCATGACGCCAGACAGCAACCTCCTCCTGCGCGAGCCCATCTCCGCGCATCGGACGCCGAGTCTCCACAACGCCATGGCATCGATCTCCGCCGTCATTAATGTGTGAGATGAAGCACCGCTCCACCATCCCTCCAGCCAGCACTTGCTCCAAAACGATGCCCCCAGAAGGGAAAGCGATAGAACACCATCATCATCCGTTCCGGAAGACCCAGATCTGGGGTTTCCCCCTGAGCACCCCAAGCCTGATGGCGCAGACTGCCGACGATGCCTCGACCATCGGCAGTAGCTCCACGAGACGAGTGTCGCCTACGTCGCCGCAACCTCCAAGATGAAGCTGACCAGAATGCATGTGTCGACACCAAACTGCCACCACTTCCACCGCCGCTTGAGCAGCCCCCGAGCAACGCCTTCAGAAAGGAGCACGCCACCGTGGTGTCGTCGTCGCTTGGAACAGGGGGGGGTCTAAGGTTTTTACCTGAGCTCCTGGGAGGGGTGGAAGGAAGGAGGTCCTCTCCGAAGCCCCCAACGAGGGAAGCAACACCCAAAGGCACTGCCATCGGAGTGGCCGCCACGCCGGCCAAGAGATTCCCTCGGAACCCTTCCAGCCACCGGATCTGCAAGGCCAGCACCCAAGAACGGTGACCGAAGCCACCAAGGGCCGGATCCACTGCAGATCGGAGTAGACCGGGATCGAGGACGAACATCACCATGGCCACCAACATACAGCGAGGAACCGCCGCCGCAGCCGAAGCCTACCACCTCCCCGCCATCCACATGGCCAGGGAAGTGGCCCACCTATCCACGCCGGCGCCGCCCGCCGCCAGGCTGCGCCGCGTGCCACCAGCTAGGGCCGCTGCCATGGATTCAAGGCTCCCCGCCCGAGGAGGAGACGCCTGGATCCCCGTCGCCACCTTCACCAGTACCACGCGGCGGCGCTGGTGAGTACCTCGGGCGGCGGCGGAGAGGGGGGACGCGCAGGGAGGAGCGGGTCGGGGCGATTAGGGTTGCTTGCTGGCCAGATGTGAATGGTGCCACGACCCCCTTAAAATTGGGGGATAATTTCACTTCCTCAGCCTCTGCACCAACCAGGGATGCATACGGCCTTTTATGTATGAGTACTAGGATTTTTAATCTTGGTTACGCACCAAGCCTAGTCCTCAATAAATACATGAGTACCAGAAAAGTCTGGTCCTCAAGAATAAATAGGAATCGAAATTCGCCTTCATGAGGATTCGAACCCAGGTGTTGGGTTTGTACATCCACTCCCCCAACCAGTTGAGCTAGGCTCACTCCCCCTAATTTGATGTTCCAAAGTTCCCATCAAAGTCAAGATTTTGGGTAGGCTCCCTCTTCGGCGATGGGATCAATTCTAGAGCGAACCACTTCTACAAGCCCATCTTACAAGATCATTCCTGCTGGTGGGATGCCAGCCATTAGGACACCGAGCATATCCCCATCCATTGATCGTCTGCCTCACTGATCTGAATGGACCTCGACTTCTTGCCCTCAATCTCTACCACAAGTATGGAAGACATACACTTGTCGGCAGCGAGCGGACCAATTGGCCTACAGTTGTGCTTTCAATTATATGGAAGATTTGAGACTCAGGAAATGCCACAACATTTCATGGCATCGTTCACTCGCGCCTCGTCTCTCTTGTCACTATAGCTACATTTGAGTAATATATTTAGGTGGGAACCCTCTCCCCTGGTGGATGTTCCAAAGAAAACATAGCATCATATCATATATAGTATTGGTCAAACAGTATTGATCCATCCAACTGATATTTAAAATTGAACCTTGAAATAGGAGAACCTCATATTGATGACATACTAGCCGGTGACAGAGGGAGTACCGTAGTACCCATTAATGACATACTAGCCGGGGACTAAATTAGTGTCATGAGTATCTCTACTTTTTTATATTACTTTTTGAAAAATAGTGTTCCTTTTCCTATCTGATAAAGTGCTTCGTCCAACCTTACGCACGCTCCTTCTTCCTCTTTCTGTTTTGATATTTTTCTTCTTCTACATACACCTATAGTTTGTTTCACCGGCTTTCCTTAAAACCATTAAACCATCCCTTTTATTAACTTACCAAATAATGTCTTATACTTGAAAAAAAAGAATAGCATTCTTTTCTCTGTCAGTCAAAGTGTTTTGTCCAACCTTACGTATGTTTCCCCTTCTTCTTTCCCTTTTATTTTTTTTCTTCTATATCTCTAGTTTTTTCATCAGTTTTCTTTAAACCATCTGAACTGTCACACCTTTTATTGGCTTTCAAATAATTTGTGTATTCTTTGGTAAACCAATAAATTCTTACTAAGTGATTAACAAATAAAATCCTTGAATTTATTTAGGTAGGTAAATCATGAACATTAATAAAGGCAAGAATAGGTAAATTATAGGCTAACGTACTGGAATATCAATATCTCATTGCAATGCACTGGTAATTATCTAAGACAGAAAGAAAACTGTAGAAGAATATTGATCATACTTGGATGAAGAACAAGGGCTTGCCGACCACGACTGTCGTATCGCCTGCATCGCATAAGAGTTCCTCGACGCATGGGTACGGTGGCCGCAGTGGCGGATGTCCAAACTCTTCCAGGCCCACGTCGGCCGATGCTTCCACGAACACCGCTCCCTCTCCGGTACAATCTACCACCAGCTTGTTTCCGGGGACCTCCCTCAGCCGACCAGCAATGGGATAATAGTACACTAGAGACTCCGCGAGGGCCGCCTTGACGGCCTTCGCCGGCGTCGTCGTCGGATGGCCGCCTGGTCGGTAGTGGAAGAACTCGATCACAAAAGAGTATACTCGTAGGTCATAACAGTCGTCGACGTCGGAGAGGATCTTGGTCTCGCGTGGTGTTGGCCGTGCCGGCGCCACCGGCTCGGGCATGCTCCGGCGTGCGGTGAACTTCACCATTGCGTTCCTACGCTTGGGTGCTTGTGACCTTGTGTTGTACTGTACCTCCACTAACTCTGATATTTTGATTCATCCATGTATCTCTCTCTATATATACACATAGAGATGCTTGACGTGTAGAAATGGTATACTCCTACATCTCTTGGTCTCGGAGGAGAAAAAGAGCTCTCAGCTGTTTCACGTGTCATAGCACATGAAGATGCTGTTTGTACACGTGCCATATCTGTTGGAATTTTGCTAGTAGGTCTTTGACCCAAAGCCCAACTAAAATTCTGAAATTCTCTTGGCCCATTCATGCACACATGTGAGTGGAGTGAGTGAGGCTAAAGTTTAGTCCCACCCCGGAAGTTGAGAGAGAGTTGCATCTCTTTATAAGGTGAGCTCCTCTACCACTTGTATGAGCATGAGAAGAGGAGACCTACACGCGCGCTCCTCCTCCTCCTCGCTCGCCACGCCACGCCTTGCCTTGTCACGACGCGCCGCGGGTTGCAGGATTGAGCCGAGCCGAGGACAGAGCTATGCACGTTGTCTAGCACTATATAGTCAGGCAGACGTCTATCCTAGCCGCCGCCGCTTCGTA